TCCACTGTCATTCTGGAGTGATATAAACGCAATAAGTTTCTTATTTTAAGTTTCCTGACATTAAAATAGATTCTAAATCCCTCCCATTTTGAGGCAGACTGCAACGTAACGCAGGAGTGTGGTTTACTCGGCTCACCAATTTTACTGAAAGCCGTGTATTAACATGTATCTATAGTAACATGTATCTTCAGCTCTCTGTGATCATCTGCACTTCAAAAATGAGTTTTATAAGTTTAAAATGTTTTTTTTTTAAAACAGAGCATGTTTGTAATAAAGACAGTAAAATCGCTGTAATTCATCGCCACAGCTGTATGTCAGTGCAATTATAAAAGAAGACGATTCAATTCCGGTTCGCTGACACTAAATCAGGTACATTATGTCCATTAACATAAAGGTTACCCATACAGCAATGGATATTAGCATGTATCCTGTCACATTTGCCATGCAAAAACAGTGCAAAGTAAAACTTTGTGCACTGCATGTGTGTGTGTGTGTGTGTGTGTGTGCTTTAACTTTGTAACAACATTGTGTGACTCAACGTGACTTATCATTGCAGAAAGGAATGAATTAACGCCACAAAAAATACATCAAATAATCATTGGTAAAGTTCTTACTGTAGTATTTCTCACAAACGTTACGCGAGATTTGTTTCCTTCATGACTGTCACTGTGCTGTTTATCTGACACAGCAACAGATGGCTCTGACAGGCAGATGGGAATGGTGGGCGGGGAGAACTAGCTCATATGCATTAAATGCACAGGCAACAAAAACTGCTGCAATGTGTTCAGAGTTGAAAATCTCAATATCTAAAAAGGTATAATAAATAGTCGGATGGGTATTTTGAGCTGTAACTTTACAGATTCTGGAGACACACAATACTTATATAAAATCTTGAAAAAAGGGATAAAATAGGTGCCCTTTAAATAAGACACACCAGCAGAGAAAGTGCACCAAAGATAGTTTCAATCAAATCAAATCTGTCAATTATAAACACACCCTGAGTCTAGTCTCAAATACATTTCAGCATGCTCCAACCAAAGCAAAAAAGTCAGACTTTTTTTTTCTTTGCACTAACAGAAACCCAATTATCTTTACCCTTTTTCAGAGAAGAACGCAATTACAGGGAAACAATGCAACGCTGATGACTTTCGATAACAGAATGTCATGGGATCATAGAGAAAGGAAAATATGGACTATGAGATTTGAAGGCCGGACACTATCACTGCAAGGTGGAATATTCAATTACATCTTCTCCCTTGGGACTGATCATTTGTCTGACTAAAACCCCCTCCCCTTCATGACAGCACAATTTCATTTCTATTTAGTGCAATGGAAATTATGAGGTGAAAAACACTCTTTCTATTTCTGGCTAACACGGCTGCCATTGACTTGTGTATAATCAAAGCCATTTCATTCCCAAACTGAACCTTGACCTCGTACCACGCTGAATGGTGCTGCTAATCGAGAATTGCTCTTTATGCTTCCAGAGAAGAATTGAAAAGTCTTACGTTTATTCTAGCCTCTCAACAATACTATTTCTATGATCCCTCTGTGTTCCCAGTCCACAATTCAGTTCAAATCATCTGGTGCACTCTTCACCCATGCTCTCACTGTTAACTTGACGTGTGCATTACCATAATGTATCTCTCCAGGATGACACTGAGGGTAATTGCAATTACTACATCTCTCTTCCCCTTGTCACTTTGCTGGCAAATGGAAAGCGACAATAATATTCCTTCGCCCAGAATGAAAAACACAATCGGCTTAAAAAGTTGATCCAGGAAAGCTTTAGGACTCCGAGGTCACCTTGCCCTCCACCTCCATTGTGCCTCCACTTCAGGTAAGTTAACAACGGCAAAGCTCTTGTTATCCACTATGCTATCAGTGACAGTGCTGTACGCCCCGCTGTTGTCAACACACCAAAGTGCAATGGCACGGCGAGATAGGATTGCATATACAGCCTCTTCATAATGCTCATGGGCAATGTCATGCTCAATGGTGGGCTCTTGTTAGAAGCTGAGGGAAGGTTATCAGTCCTGACACACGCTTATCAGCACACGTCCATCTCGTAGCACTGGCGCCGCGCATACCACCCACCGAAGTACACAGATGCTGTTTACCCGCGCCAGGAGTGGGCCGCCACAGCTAATTCAACATGATTGTCTCCCAAAGGACAGAAAGCCGAGATTTTGACAGGGAAGGAGGGACAGAGCTCAACACACATCTTCCCCGAAGAAAGGGACCCACTGCACTACGTCTGCACTTCCCGTCGCTGTTTTGTTAAACCTCGGTTAACGTCGCTGGGGGAGGATTTTTTGGGATTCCAAGCTTGATTCAATCATGGGTAATTGCTATCGGATAATAAAAGAGGACACACAAGGCGGGTTTATTCACCGGGATTCTTGGGGGCTTATTGACACAATATCTCTGCTGTCAATTATCTCTCCCGCTCTGACAGGTGCACAATAACAGGCACTGGGATCTTTCTATCGAGCCGGTAAACTCAAGCTCCTTCTGAGACAGGAAAGTGTGTGACATGAGGGGATTGAGTATCATTCTAGACTGCTCTCATGCTTGTGTGCCCTCCCCAGCCTTATTCCTCATGGAGCGCGCTCTCAATCCTCTAATTATATTCTCCTAAAACTGCTGGATAATCAATAGTCCATCTGATTTACTTCATCAAATATTCAGACGGCAGAGTTTACAGATCGAGTCCACTATCTGAGACACTCCCGAGCTTCTAGGCCTACCAGCTTTAATTGCATTAAATCGTCTACAAATTCCCACTGAGCAAGCGAGCTTGTTTGGCCTGGAGAACAGCTCATTGAGGAAATCAGCAGAGAGTAGGTCAGTAGAGACCAAGACCGAAAGGACAGCACCCCGCATGAGGTGCTGCTCTGATATTTTTGGCCCTGTCAACAATGTGGTGCCTGCTCGCTTATTTGACTTTAATGAAGAGACTGGATTTGTGCAGTTGTGCTCGCCCAGGGCTAAAGTCATGCAACCCCGGCAAAACAAATGAGAAAGGAGCAATTACGAGACGCAATAAACAGACTCAGCATTTTCCCTTAAGCGCTAGAACTACATCACAGCTGCAGAGACCAAAAGCGAGTAGGTACCCGAGGGCGGAATCAAATGAACCAACAGCACCCCTCGGCAGCTGGTGAGGGCTGCACACATACAGTACGTCGAGAGAAGGGAAATCGGTAGATGGGAACATTAGTCTGTAAAGTTGACTAGAAGGAATTGCCACAATGTTTTCTTCCATGAGTGATGATGCTGGTTATAAAGCAGTCCTAAATCCTTAGGGGACATTTTGGACAACTTAGTTTTCAAATAGGGTAACCGGTGAAGGGGGCAGTGGGTTCTAGGCATGGGCTGGTAAAAGATTCTGACGCTATGATAACCTTGGATAAAAAATATCACGGTTTCATGGTATTGTGATTACTGCTCTAAAATATATTCATTTTAAATGTCTGGGTAAAAAAAAACTAAAACTTTTTTCTGCTTTGAACAAAATATATTTTATCTTAAGAAACATTTAAAGTATTTTGGAACATTAAACATGTCAGACTACATAATTCAAATGAATCATTGACTTCTGCTGTCTTTGTTTCATTACAATTTTCAGATTTGATTGAAAATTTAAAATGGCATCTTTAAACATATTTTCTGCTGTCCTAAAACAAAAAACAAACCTAAAAATAAATAATAATAATAATAATAATAATAATAACAACAACATTTTTTTTTTAAAAAACTAATCTTACATGTATCGTAGGAACGATATAACAACATTTTGGCAGTTTTAAAACCTTGAATTTTTCTAAACCGTGGTATACCTTGAAAATGTTTATCGTCCCATGCCTAGTGGGTTCTACCTCACTTTGGTGTAAACGCATGCCAGTTCCGACCAAGTGCCAATCTGTGGCGGAACCCCAGTAGAAGCAGGAGCTGTACTGTATGTAAGGAAGCACAAGTGATTTTCCACATGCAAGATGCTTTTAAGGGACTAAACATGCCACAATGACATCTGGCTAAGAGAATCACTGATGGCACTCTCATCCTAAGCAGCAGCCAGTTGCAAAGTAAATGAGCTTATCCTTGTTGTTCTCTGAGAGTAAGGCATGATTAAGGAATTCAACCTAAGAAAATGATGCTATAATCCCAAATCTCTTGAAGATCAAACATTCAATAGGAACTGAATTGTTCTCTCCTTCTCCTTGAGAGCATTAGTGGAAGATCAACAATAAATATTCAATATTAGCATGAGACAGAGCTTCATCCTCTTCATTTCTGCACGCCTTGCAAGAAAATGTTCTTTCATTTCTGACTTGGTGATTTATGTTTCCCTGAAGGCAAAACTGCTGACTTCCTAAGTGCTCCTAAATGCATAATCTTGTGGGAGGCAAACACACAATAATGTTAACTATTCATTAACAGCTGAACAAGGCGCATAACGATTTGGTTTTGTATTCTTAAAGTTTAATTAGAGTACTGTAGGGTTAGTTAGAGAAAATGAAAAGTCAAAAGTCACGTAGTAACTCATGCATGTGAATACACCAATCAAGTGTATACAGACTATACACTTAATACATATATGGCCAAACAACAATTCCAACCATTTCTAACAAAATTTTCAAGTTTTAAACAAACAAACTAATGTTAGGTATAATTAAAAGCCATTTTTAATAGACCTAGGCTGTATGGAAAACAGAAATTATGCTTTACAACAGTTCACAGCATTCCAAAAAAAAAAGAAATCAAAGAATTCAACGTTGCCAACCACATACACCACAGTTAAAAATGCACTTCACTTATGACCTGAACTTTATTTCACAAAAATAACTTCTGAAACAATGTATAACGAGCATCTGCATAACCCAGATGGGCTAAAGCTGTGCACAAGACTGTTATTTACCCTGTTATGCAGCACCAAGGTCTGACTGACAACAATTAACCCTTAAATACGGAGTCACACAGATGTCAAAGGTACTGACCTGCTCTCCAGGCTCGTGCGACTTCATAAGGCTCTTCTCTCTGTACATTGACCAAAGGCCGACGTTTGGCAGGAAAATTAAAGCCACCATGAACAGAAATGCCATCTGCAGAACGCGCTTTTGCCTTCTCTTCATTTTGAAGACGCACACGAGGCACAATCCAGCGCTAGATGAACGTGAGTCTGCCGTGTGTGCACTCGAGCTCCGCTTCTCCCCTCGCAAAAGACGACAAACTTTCACCTGCAAGGAAGACAGAGTCGCCGCGTCACATAAACAAACACTCTAAAATGAAACGGAGCAGCATATTCAAACGCGCATTAATCCCAGGCTCGAAAGCAGCACTCGCACTCTTAACTGACATCCGCTATTAGCGTAACATTAACTGAACAACCTGAAGAACATGCATGGATTAATAATTGAAGACAATTTTGTAACAGTATATCGAAGACACACACACAAAAATATAAGACGAGCCCGTTTTTTATCAGTCACGCGAGACGGAACGCGCGCAAGTCATAAGAAAACGACTTACAGTAGAGGGATATTTGCATGTTGAGACATGTATGTTGCTCGGTAATCCTCTCTTCTTGGCTGAAGACACGCGAGAGAGTAAGATAATTGCTGGACAACGACGAGCGCTGCGTTTTTATCTCAGGCAATGCACTCGAGATACAATTTAGAATCGTTTCGTGTTCTTCCTTAAAAGCCTCGCGCGGGCGTACCACCTACTGAAGGTTTACGGATATTTCTCGTTCCTCCTTGGGCGACTTCTCGTTACCCCAACATTTTAGATATTGCGGTTATAAACCACGTGCGCTGCGCATTAATGTGAAAACATCCTTGCAAGCCGGGCGATGTTTTCCGATGTGTGGGACAGCAGAGAGAAGCAGCGGTCTGGAGGCTACACACCAAACACGAGCGCGCACAGTGAGAGGAGAGCGATCCTTAGGTTTGGTTTGAGCTGTTGAACTGGAGCTCCGCTTGTTCTTCAACACGCAAATGCAGGAGTTCGACTCCATACACACTGACATACACATTGTTTGATATTTAAGTTGCAATAGTGGGAACTTGTAAGGGATGTTTATTTTGGGGGGAGAAAACTAAGAATAAACTGAACATTTTATTAGGTTAAACACAATATGTTTGTATGTTTAAAATGAATATAGGTATTTTATAAATATATTAAATTGTTAATATCGCTACATTGAAGATACGTAAAATGTCATTAACACTTATAAATGATACCCATTAACCTATAATTATTGATTGCATAAATGTGTCTTATAAGCTAAATGGCAGCATAATTATGAGCTAAATCACAATATTAGGAACTAAAGAATACTGTTACAGTTAAAGTGAGGAAGCCATATCATTTGAAGCAGTTCATCTAAAATGTTATTGATCTAAAACAAGTCTCTTCTACTTTTTAAAGCTTCATTTAATGACAAAAGAAAAGAAAAAAAAAGACTAGCCCATAAAACAGAACTACTGGGAAGTAAATATTAAAATATGAATTAAATTAATAACTGAATATTATGCAGTCATTACTTCAGATTTCAGAGCAATATTATTTTAAAGAAACTATGTTATTATGCTGATTATATTTACTATTTAAGATTTCATAATACATATATAACAAGTCAAGCACTTGTAGTTGCATTTTATCATTATTATCCTGTCTGGAAGTACAGTATGAAACTATGAAGCTTTTTATCACATGATATTTTTTGCTGCGATCCACTGTGTGTTTTGTCAAATCTAATAATTATTTTAGTTTTTTTTTGTTTTGTTTTGTTTTGTTTTTGAAGCCTGACAAAGAAGTTCTAATAAACTCTAATACAAATCAAATGGCTAAAAAAGAGTTTAGTAATCATACATTTATTGTGCATCATCATTTAATATATTATCAGGCATCAGTCACACACAATATAAGTCAAACCAGCTGATGATTTTTTAAACTTTGTGTAAGAGGCGCACATTTCTTTGAAGGTGTTTATTTATTATTGAATCCTGCTGTACTTGATGGAAAGGAAAGGCAGACAGATGGGGGTGTGGTGCAGGTACACTTTCACCAAAGGCACTGCAGCACAACATATGGAGACAGCGTTCACAAGGGATCACCTCGTGTTTCTAAGTGAATTGCAGATCTTCATGAATTTTATCAATACCATGCTGGATCTAGTCCTGAATATTTAAATGCATTGATATACAATCTAACAAAGGTGTTTTTCCCTTGCCACTATATAAATAATATATACAGAGAGAAACTTTGTGATTGTTTGAGTTTTCAACACAACCAACAGAGGGGGCCAACAGGCACGACCTACTCTGAACTGCTGATCCACAATAAGTATTTGTTTCAGCACCATGGACAGCAGTTTCTTTTTCCAATGTGAAAATACCAGTCTCATAGAAAAAAAAAAAATAATAAATAAAAATTCTGTACTCAAATGACTAATGTATGTTAGCATAAATCAGCATTTGTGACCATGGACCACAAAACCAGTGTTTTCAGGGTTTCCGTAGCGACTTAAAAAGTCTTAAATATTAAAATCCAAGTTTTAGGCCTTAAAAGTTTTAGGCCTCTTACATTTACTAAAATATCATGTTGTAGGTCTTAAATATTTTTTTAACATGTCTTAATTTTCTCTTGTTCATGTATTGCTACCCAATCTGGCCAAAACCCATACAATCACCAACAAGCATCTCAATAAAACTTTATTTTTTTTTATTTAAAAAGGTAGTTTTTTAACTTTATTTATCATAATGGTTTAATTATTTGTTAAATAAATAATATTTATTATTATTTACTGCTGAGGACACCAACCTGGACAGATTGTTGTCCAAAAATTAAGTTTATTATAGTTTTTTAACTTTTAAAACATTTGAAAAATTTTATTGTTTTATTTATTTTAAAGAAAGTTTATGTTTGGACACAGGTAGAACTTGCTTGTTTTGACACAATTTTTTTGCCTTCTCTTCATTTTGAAGACACACATAATATATATATATATATATATATATATATATAGTTAATTGTGCCTACTAATGATCAACAGTAAAAAAAGGCAAATTTTACCTCTTCCCAAAAGGGAAATCCAACAACAATCAAAAATGGTTTCATGATTGTGTAATAATGAAAAGTAAATGAGGTTATAATAGAAGTCAATGAGTCAAAAACAGTCATGAACAGTGAATTTAGGGAGAAAAAAAAATAGAAAATTAATGAAAAACAATGCATCAAAGGCAGTGTTTGTTTTTACATGTCAAAGACTTTGATAAAAGGTTAAAAAAAAATCCAGTTCACAATTACATTTTATAATAAAAATACCTAAATATGTGTTTTTTTTTCAACAAAATAGTGAGATCATGTATGAATTTGGCAATTACAGAGTTAAAATGCTGTACTTTTCTAAGCAACGTGATTAACAGGTTTTTGCAAAAACTATTAAACTATTGAAAAAAATTATATATTTATCTGATGCATTTTTACAGCAGTTTAATGTAGTGGATGTTTTCATCCTAACATAACAATTTTTGGATGTTTTCATAACATAATAATGTGAATTTGATTGTGACGTTTTTTTTTTAGCAAAAAAAATCTATGCATTTTCTTTAAATATTTGTCAAAATAAGGTTTGTCACCAAAATTCATTCTGCTAGCTAAAACACAGAAAATGTTATGGCCAAATTAATACTCAAATTCACCCTAGAATGGATAAAAAAAACATCTCCAACATAAAGGTTAAAACGTTGTTTTCAATATTTCATTTTTTTTAAAGAAGATGAGTAAAATTGTTTTATTTCAGAAAAAGATCCTAACAAACCATACATCAATAGAAAGAATATTTATTCAGATTTGATGTGATGTAAATATCTCAATTTTCAAATTATTACTGGTTTTGTGGTCTAAAATCACATATACTAAATGTAAAACAAATATAAAAGTAACACTGTAAGAACTAACAAAAATACTGGAAAAAAAAGCACTGTAAGAACTGAAGAGAATAATTAGTTAAAGGCAGAAACTTGTTTCATGCCCCTCTTTGTCTTAATTACCACAGTGCAGCACATCAGTCAAATCATTTGATTCAGCATATTTACTGTGACAGAAGACTGAGGAATTCCAATCTTCCATATAGATTAAACTCTGCCTATGGCTTTGAAATTGAGAGAGAAAGACAAAACATAAAGGCTTTTATGATATTTACAATTTGAGAAATGAAATATCAGCACCACAGGAAAAAAAATTTATTTGATAAATACAAAAATGTTCTAATAAATAAATACAAAAAAAAAATGGTTATACTAAAATCACATTATTTGCATTTCACAAACAAACACAAACAATCCCATTACCTCTAATGACAATGTGACTGAATACAACATGAATAATTTGAACTTTAATTATGCATATGCTAGGCCATGGTACTGTATGTGCACCTATGGAAGGCGATCAGATCCAATCTTTAAATAAATCAAAATCTTTAAATAAATTAAACGTGTGATTTTTGTTATAGTTTGAAAGTATTATGGAGGTAAATTTTAACACACTTGACCATTTTAAGGTTGCTTTTTTTTTTTAAAGGAAAGATATCTCATCAATGAAGAGAACATGTTTATTTTTCATTGAAAGTTTTTACAGCAAGCCACATTCTTGGTTTATTATGGTAGGGGAAGCCTTAGTGCATGCCCAGAATAAGTTAAAGAACTTTCAGGCCTTCCTAGGTACAAATGCAAAGATGGTCAGAGAAAGTGTAGATGGATCCCTATGTAAAGATGAACACAGGCAGGTGTGGATGGACTCTGATCACTCATGTTTTGACAATTGTGAATCTCTCTGAGACAAAGTCAGTGCAAGAGATCCCTTTAAAAACAGAGAAACTTAGTTGTGTCATGAATAGGATGATAACCTGTCAATCTCACTTTCACTTTGGGTTTCTCCCTTCTGTATCAGGGGTCACCACAGTGGAATAATGTGTGTGTGTGTGTGTGTGTGTGTGTGTGAGGTGTGTGTATATATATATATATATATATATATATATATATATATACATATATATAGTTAGGTTTAGAAATGTGTAATGTGTTGAAAAAATCTTCTCCCCATTAAATAAAAATTGAGGAAAACATAAACAGGAGAGCGAATAATTCTGACTTCAACTGTATTTGTTGGCAAACTGGCGATCCTTGGCCATCTTTGCTCCTAAAGGACCAAACCTTTCTTGTATGCTGCTTTTCTCCCAGATCATAATTACAATCACCTGTTGACATCACCTGTTTCAAATCACATTATTATTCAATCGATTTGCCTGATTACTAGCCCTAAACCGCGCCTGTCCTAACTCTTTTGGAATGTGTTGCATGTCTGAATGATAGGAAAGGATGTACATTTACAAATTAAAAGAAGTTGACAAGACTAAACATGAAATATTTTGTTAAAAAAAATAAAAATCGCTACTTTCTCTCTTTTTATTAGCATTTTTCATTTTCATGGCTCTTTATTATAACATATAAAGTGGCCCATACACTCCAAAAAAATACAAAAAAAAAAAAAATTTGCTACTTGTTCAAACTACTTATTTAAAATGAACAGATTTTGGGGCCAACTTTTTTTTTTTTTTTATTAAATTCACTTTGCTAAATTTGTTACATTAACTTAATCAATTTGTGTTGGGACAACATGAATGAATTGCATGAAACCCTGCATTTTTACAGTGAATGTTCATAACAGAAAATATTTAGAGGGAGGGTTTTTAAATTTAGGTGCAAATCAACAAAAATGCTGGCGGTGCCTAGTAACTTAAAAAATAAATAAATAAAACACTGACATTCAGATATTGTACAAAGACAAATCTGCCTTTGAGATCAAGGAATGCTATCAGATGAGAATACTTGGCCAGTTGTGTGTGTGCATACATGTATACCTTTTTCAAATAAAGAACTGCATAACAACACACTAGCTTCATGAACAAGGCCCGGCTA